TATATATATATATATATATATATCACGTACGTTATGTACAATTTATTTTGTATTTTATCAAAGAATATTAAGATTTTACTACAATTAAATTAATATTATATATTTGAAATATAAGAAAAAGAGGTAAAAAGAGATAATTCTATCAATAAAATTTAAGTCTATATAATAATAGAATATTTTATGTTTTCCTACCTTGATTTCTTCACTCTTGGCTTTCGAAGCTTCCAAGGTATGAATCAGATCAATGTCATCAATTATTGATCCTTCGGATACCGTGAGTCTGTAAAGAATTTTATCCTCAATCTCCTCCAGATCCCGTTTCATTTCAGCACTCGATACAATAAGTGCATTTCTTTCTCGTTCAAGATCAGGACGTTCTTGTATAGTAACTAGAGACAGCATTTGATCAACAAGGCCGCTACACAATTACATACATATATAAGATTAGAATCAAATATCAAACTCGATACGAGCCAATTTGTTGAATAAGATTTTCTATTTTATTAAATAAAAATAAGAAAAACAGATGAAGCCGATGTCTGATTTATTTTATTACATATATTATTTTAAAATTACAAATTGGATATTGATACTATTCTTTGATATTGATATATTTTTGCATGAATTGTATACAAATTTATACACTTTATTACACACATGAAGATATGTGGTAAAATAAATTTTGTAGGGTAAAAGTTCAAGAAAAGATGCCCAAATGTTTAAGAAAGTATAGTTTTTTGCTCAATTATAGTATCGATTTAAATTCTTATTGTTACTATTAGATACGATTTGATAGTTACTTTTTACAATAAAAATATGATGAATAAATAATTTATAAAACTTATAAAATTTATATATACGCAATATTTTACATAGTTTTTCTAAAAAAATCTCACCCAACAGTCACCATGGAATTGACTATTAGCACTTTTATTGCTATATCCGGTGTATAATGGGGATTAGGTAGTCTCGTGGTTAAATAAAGACGAAAATCAGAATTGTAGAACACGATATTCTCGCCAATTTTGATGCTCGGCTGTCCGGCGTATTGAAACAATGCACGAGTGAGAATAGGATCTAGGGAAGCTTCCAATTCAGTACTGATGTTTTCGATTAAGCATGGTTTTCCGAATTGTACACAATTTTCAATGGTACGCAAAAGATCTTTATCCGTTAATTTTGTAATTGAAAGTCCAATCGGTTTGTACTAAAATTAAAAATTCAGTTAATTAGAAGAATAAAGCAAGTTTAATATAAGATATTAATAACAAGATAACTTTTTTAAATATAAGATTTTAATATACTCTCTAAAAGTAAAGTAATAGAATTAACTCTGATTTTCAATGTATATAATTTTCCAGTGACATACTTAGAACTGTGATAAACAGTGAAAGATTCATATAATAAATATTACTGAAAGACAGTAAGTTTCACTGCCAAACAGTTTTGAGAACTAAAATTCACTGCTTTTCAGTGATATTGACTGTTTGAATCAGTATATTATCATTGAAACAAGTTGAAAGAACGTTCAAATACTCACTGATTATCACTGTTCTTAATATGCCACTGAAAAATGGTATACACTGCAAATTGTGATAATTCCACTGATTCACTTTTAGAGAATATAAGATTTTTCTTAATGTTTATGTATCTACGATAAGCATTTTCAAATTATTTAAAATTAAATACGATTAATTGAACATTTTTTTATAATGCACGTATGTGTAAATTTTCCTATAATGAATATACTTATGCATTTCCGTTAGCTTTATTGCTTTATCAGGTGTAAAGGATAAATTCAATATTCTGTTAAAATTATTCCTTTATCAAATAAAGGATAAATTTATGTTTCATATGAATAAAATTAAAATTATTTCAATAATGAATTTCTGTTATAATAATTATTATGAATTCTTGTGCTTTTATGTGATGACTACATATGTTACGCGGTATTAAGTCCCATGAATATATAATTTAATCTCTCTTTCAAGTCTTTGTTCGCTTTATTCAAAAAGTTTCTTTCTCGACAACTGCAGAAAATTTATATGGTAGAAATTCCGCTAAAAAAAGGTTCGCTATTAAAAGGTTTCTTTCTTTTCTCTCTCTGTGATATAACATACCATATTACGTATCCACTTATTCGCCTGTGCTTGAGGGTCGATGAAGAGGGGCCATCGCTTAGAATTCATCACAAGTACTGCGTTCTCGATAGATAGGGTGTCCCTTGGCAAACCATTCATATGCCAATTTTTTATTTCCATTTGATTGCCGAGAGTTAATATAGGGTTGCAACCTGGGGTATGAGGGACGTCGTCGCCAAGAGCGTCGTACCAGGTTGCTAGGAGATTTTGGCGATAAGTATCCGTGAAGGGCGTCAAATATGCAATCGCACCTGCAAGCAAGGGGGTAGTTGCTGATACAAAGGAATTGTGTGAAATCAATCCTGTTTTGCTGCTGGAATAGACAGAGCTACACTCGATTAAGCTGCTGCATATGAAGCTTTGTCAATCTCATGTGAATGGAGCAGAAAACAATTGTCACCAATGAACCGTACGAAGACATTGTATTATTTACAATCAGATTAAGATTGGAGAGAATTCGTGAAAAGTATGTGTATGTCAACATTTGACAACACTATAAATAATATTTTTAGAATTACAGGTGTGTAAATAGTAAAATTATTATTAGAAATTACAAAAATTGTTGCAATTAGAAATAAATGTGTTTATTAATTAAAAATGTTTTCATATACATACTTCTATTCTGTAATTTTTATTATTATTGTTTTGTTTGTACATTTTATATTTGATATGAAGCAAAAAATATAAAAATGCAAATATAAAAACGCATAATTACATAAAATAAAATTTTTTATGTATATAAAATAAATAATTGCATATAAAGCTTATTGTAAAATTAAAGTATACTTTAATTTTCCTTTGTAATGAGTTTTTATAAGATTGTCAAAGATATCTCATTGGTGGGTGATCTTTGCTAGCAGAATCAGATTAGAGTCACTATTCTTTGTACGGAGGAAAACTCGCTTAAGGCAGGAAAATTGAATTTACCAGAATGGCTGCGACTTTCTTATATAATAAATATCGGGTCTTAAAGTAGATCATACAGAATTTTAAAAATCGAAGCTTAATGTACTGGATTGGAAATTATATATTTACAGATTTTTTACGCACTCTCAAAAATAAACTATTATCGATAATGACACATTTTAACAATATGATTCTATGTAATTTATGTCTACGATAGAAATCTATTTAATTTTAAATCTATTTTATTTTAAATTTAGCGTTATCTTGTTAAGGCAAATTATGAGCATGACTGCTTTAATTATCTGTAATATGTTTCATTTATTGTTCCGAAATAAATTAATTTTGGATTAAAATAAAATAATCTGTTAATCTAACGTTATTAAAGTATATACTTAAAAACTAAATTAAATGATTGTTATTATTGTGCGCTAAAACTATTAAATAATTTCTACTAGTTTTACAGAATTTATAAATTATTTTATATAATAACCAATTAATGTGTATGGTGCAGAAAATCTTATCTTTACAAATATATAAAAAAGTGACATTTTTACTTTTCATATGAAATAGAAGTAAATAATTCGAAACAATTGTTAAATTGTTGTATACCTGATGACAGAAGGATATCACCAACAGTATTCTTTAAGGACATTTTTATATCATCTACCATGATGGTCCATCGTTTCTGTTCGTCCGACAAGCCTACGATTAATCTTATGGCTCGCGCCATTCGTTCTTCACAAAGCTGCTTCTGTCTTTCTAGTTCGGCTTTTTTTGCTTCCTCTTTTGCCAATTTATCTTGTAATTTCTTGATGCCTTCCTGTACTTCATGAAATCTTGTCATAGCAGCTGCTTGTGCCGTTTCGGTTTCAATCAGGATCTCCTCTGCTTTTGCCAAGACTGCCATTTTGGGCTCAACTTTCTTATTTACGAAGTAATAATCGTATATCGCGTGGATCCACAAGCATAAGGAATGGCAAGCCTTCGAAGCTTGAAGTATCTTTTGAATGTAATTTAATAATTATATTATTATTATAATTGAAATATAAAAAAATATATTTGCAATTTAAATTATATTAAATTACATTTTTCGGTAATTAAAATAAAATTTTTTTGTTTACTAAGTTTAGAAAGAAGTTTATCAAAAGAAAAAAATTGTATTTAATAGTAGAAATTGTTAAACATTAATTTAAATTTCATGGAGATATTTCGATGTAAAAAAAATACCGCAACAAATATAGTTTACTATTATACAACCGAATATTTACTGTATCTGGTTGGAAATTGGGATTTTCTACATAATCTTTCAATTTATTTATAATTTCCTCTGTAATATCTTCTTTTTTGAAATGCGCCATTGTGTGAAGAAAATGAATTGGATCTGCTAATATTTGAGTTCCAGGAGTCCAATAATCTAATATCTTCTCACCGGGAAGTTTTCCAGGAAGCTAAGGATAATCATTTCATTTTACATATACATGATACTACGTATCAATCTTATGATGTCATATACTAAATTTTCTGATGTTAATCATATACTCTTTAAAAAATTTAATTATTATACTAATGAAAAATCGTACTGCACTTTTTTTTATAAAAGATTTTTGTGTTTATTACTTTATAATGTAAGCATAATTGTGTATACGGCTAAGCAAACCTTGTGTGGTTTCACGTTGTTTATAATGCACATTGCTTCAATCACTAAGAGTACTCCCACTGGTGGTCTCTTCATCGCTTTTACCTCCGTAATATCACTTTTATTTAGTGCTTTTAAACTGGCTTCAGCAGCCTCGAGCATTGGTTTTACTTCATCTGTATACATACGTGATTTATAGATATACGTGTAATTAAATTTTGATCAAAATTCTCTTTTGAACATTATACATGTATCAAGAGATGATAGCATCTTCGCGCATTTTTCATAAAGTACCTTTTATTCTTTTATGAGCAAGATGTTACAGCTTATTTTTTACGGAAAGGAAAATGCTCTTTTCTATATTTATTAATTTTATATACACTTGTATATAAAATTAAAAAATGTATAATATTTTAAAATGTCGCGTTTATATAATTCTTTGTATAACTAAAAAAATTCTAAACATATATGTTTATATTTTACGTGATGTAATGTATAAAATGCACAAAAATATGTTAAATTTAATTAATAAAAGCTGATAATGTGGTACTGATTGCTTCGCAGAATCTGCTTTATCAATATTTCATTTTTCATACTAAAAATTTGATAAATTGCTCGTGGTTATATAAATCGATATGTGTCTACATTTTTAGAGAATATGTAAGTTTGTATCTCTATTTATTAATATAGAGCGAGCTCTGTACAAATTAGATACACAATTTACACGAGCGAATTTGTGTACATTTCCGCACGTTTTGTAAACTTCGTGCTGTTTTCATATAAAAATTTTGACGTTTGACCCGTGTACGAGACGATATGTTTTCCCGCGAAAGCGGAACGTCAACGTAAATAACACGTGATACTTTCTCGTGATACGGGATATTCTGCCACAAGAATGTTATTCCCAATACATATTTGTATTCCCAATGGATTCAGACTTACTTTAGCTGCTAAAATACGATAAGAAAACTGATGAATATTAATAAAATAGTGCGGTTCGCTCGACATAAACGCGAAATCTACTTATATTAAATAAATGTATAATAATTTTATTAAATAGCTACTAATTAGGATAAGATGTTTGGCATATATGTGGCCGTGTCGTTATGATATTAATTCTCATGTAAATATTCTCTTTTGCATCCCTTTTCTTAATTTTCTGATAAATTTCTGTTGCTGCACTGTGCACGTGTGTTTCTAAAGCTTTAGATAGTATTAAAGTATATTATTCTTACAACAGGGCTTTTACTACTATGCTTTATAAGGATAAACATACTCAAATCGGCCTCTGCCTCATCCCTGATCGCTTTATTTTCTTCCTTCAATTTTGATGCCGCCGCTTCTTGTTGCATAGCCACTATTTTGGTCTCCTCTGCTTCAATCTGCAAAAAACAGATTATAAGCTTTGTGCGTTGACTATATATAGGGCAATACCTCTCGTGAAAAATAAAATGCAAGATATCAAATATTTTACAAACAAACATAAGCTTTTTTGGCGCATAAATATTAAATAATAACAGGCTAGTAGAAGCCAAAGCCAAGAATTACATAATTAATCTCTCTTTTTCTTAAGAGATTAGAGAGAAAGAGATTTTTATTTAACTAATATATACAATTTTTAATAAGAATTCGATATGTTTTAGACCAAAAAATAATTATTATATGTTTTATATAAAAAAATAACTATTTTTGCAATTTTTTTTTTCAAGGATTAAAAAAGCCGCAAAATTTTTCATTTAATTATTCTCACTTCTTTGTTTCTCATATTTTTATTATATACATAGATATATACCGCCTTGGGATATAAAACGTATAAAAAAATCCTCTCATTTATGTATTTTAATTTTATTAAAACAAGATTTTATTCTCAAAACACTTTTAATTAATTAGATTAATAAGATTCTAAAGAAATAATCCTTCAATAAAGGTTTATAAGGGTTTTAAACAATAATAATTTTATTAATCTTATCATAAAGCAATTAATAATATCATTATATCATAACTTTTCTATAAAATATTTTTTAAGAGATGCTAGATGAGTAAGTATAAGTACAAGAGGGAAGGGGGGGGGAAGACAAATAAGAGGTAAGAGATAGAAAAAGAAAAAGGATAATAAAGTGCTATATTTTTTTGAGTTTTTCTTTAGATTTCAAAGTTGTGCTACTTTAAGTATGATTTTTAACGCTTTTTCGTCATATCATGTTGAAAATAATGTTTGCAAATGATTTAGCATATCAAAAGCTATAAGAAAATATGTATAAAAAAGGTTCCATATATTAGGTCAAAATTTGATTATTTTTCTATTGGCGAAACTTTGCTAATTTCTAAGTTATATATTTTGTACAAGACATAAAATGAGAAGTTTTTGAATGATAAGGATGTGAACTTTGCATGAGGAAGTTTGATAGAAAGTTTGTCAGATGCTCACTGTATCTTGAGTAATCTCATGTATCATTCCTGCCGTTGCCTCTGCCGCTTTCTCTAACTCGAGTTTCATACGTTTCAGCATCTCCTGTATATCTTTCACTTCTGCTTCTGTATTCGCCAATTTATTTAATCCTGCTCGAGAAAAATACGCGTTACAAAGACTAAGTTGTATGCTGATTTATGTAGATTAGATGAAGTAATTAATTTGCATTGTCTTGTTTTAAACGATTCGGAGGCAGTAAATTTTCATTATGGCTTCGTATAGCTTAAACAGATGCGTTCTCGTTTCGTCGGGATGCTAATCAACATGAGAAACACAAAGTCTTCAAAGGAACGCAGTTTTCTTAGTTCTTGGCAACTTGATATACTTATATGTTTTTCTCATAGCATTGCAAACAAAAAGTTTAAATAACTGGCGGATAAATGCATAAAAAGTACATTTATCTCCCACAATAAATACAAATATTAAGACAAAATCGAATTACTATAGAGAATTTAACGCAGATTGAATTAGATTAAGATAAAATAATTTTTTGGATATATGTATTATACTTGCAGAATCGATGTACATTGAAAATGTTACTGAAATGTATATTGCAAGGTTGTTAAGAATTGAGACATTTCATTTCCTGCCTTCTAGCGCGCGAATAATACCACGACTTGCACACAGGGCAAATCGATATTCCGAATTTAACACGAATTACAAGCCACCGTCAGACAGTCGGCGTTAAATTTATAGACTGGAAAACTATCGACGGTCATTTACCTTTGACCTATGAAAAGCTCTGTTATACTAAGACATTGATAAAATAAGAAATGTATTAAATAAAATAAGAATTTTCATTTTAATACCTCAATTCAGTTAGTTTAATTCGAGCTTTACTATGCAAAGAAATTTTTACAATAAAAAGACCGAATTTTTTTTTAACTTCTTTTTATATTATATAACATTCTCTTGAATTTTATAAGAATTAGAAAATATTATATAATATTATCTAATTATCATTTTAATTTAATATAATAAATAAATAAATAAATAAATAAAAAAATATATATATATAATTTCACACATTTCACATATTGATTTATTTTATAGTAATTTCATTTTTACTCACCAGTGGACAAACGTCTCATGGAAGAATTTAATTCGTCCTTCTTCTTTTTTAAAAGGTCACCATAACTCGACAGCAATTCCAAATATGACTTAGGTGTGACATAGTTATGACGGTCTAATTCCTGAGATGAATTATTTATCACAGCAATTGCAGTTTTAAATGTTAGTAAAATATTAATATATTGCGTATTTACTTTCAAGAAGCGATCACTAGCGTCGATCACACTGCAATGCATATATTGGCATATTTTTACGATAGACTGCAAAGTTTTATGCGAGATGGTCGACTGATCTTGGATGTCCGACAGAAAATGTGTTGCTATGGTCTAAGCAAAAATCAATATATTGCACCTTTTAATCAAATCGCATTAGCACATCATGCGCTTCGTATAATGTTTGTAATTGTATTTGCAAATATAAACTTAGAGAGAGATTAGTAGATTTTGCAGTACGTAAACTAATATTAAACTCGTGCTCACATTTGAAAATTAATTTACTGAAAGATCCGGAGCAGATCGGAAGCGGAGTTCTGAATTCGTAATGTCGCGAAATTACTAAATGTTGCATGCTAAGATCCATTTTCATCACGTTAAATACACGTTACCATCTTTCGATTCAATATAAAATGTGCAATTTGTATACAAGACAAATAAATTCTTAAATTAACATTTAATGTTAAACGTTGAATCTAAACGTAAACAAATTTTTTCCAAACAATTTTTAAAAAAATTGTAATTATCTTGTTTAAATTTGAGTGTTACAAGAGAATAATATATTTCTAATTTTGAGAATTTTAAAAATAATTTTAAAAATAAGTATTGTTATATAGTTTTGTTACAGGCTCAATTTACTTATTTATTTATTATTTGTTTATACAATTAAAATAATATTGATAATTATAATCGGAATTTCACAAACTTGCTGAAATTAACGTGCGTATTTTTCCTAAAATAATTTTTTTTAATGTTTAAAAAAACACAATTTTAAGAATTCGATAAAGTAATTAATTTATCTTTATCAATTAGTTTGTAGAGAAGAATTATTTAACAGATTGTGTCAATCAGTAACTCCTTAGGTTTTTGTATTTAAATAGCTATATTATCTTATATATTTAGTAAATTTGCTATTCGTTTGTTAAACATTTTTTAAAATTTTTAATCCTTTTACATGTATCAATTTATAAAAATTTGAAGCTATTAATTAAGTGTCTATGAGTATTAGAACAATGATGTTAGATCACGATCAAATTGCTTACAAAGCTGTATTGTGGTTATCATTTATTGCAAGTCAGCTATCATCTTATTCTGAATTAAAACAGCTAAACGCTCGCTAGTGTTATAATTGCGACAGTATGTGTAAATATGATATTTTGATACAATACTGTTTACTGTTTTTTTTTTTTTTTTCATTTAATGTATCCCGTGGAAAATATATATTATTTATGAAGTAAAAATTTTAAATATCGCATACATTTGCGATGTTTTACATTTTTGCGTTTTATTGTTTTGCATACTTGTTATTTCGTTTGTAAAATGCATGCTTTGGCATAATACAAAAGCCTAAGTTAAATAAATAACACTCTCGTACATCGCACTTTTTTATACCAGAACATTTTTAAAAATCCCAACGCAGCACAGATATGTCTCTTACAGTGTATTAAAGCTTTTTGAAAACTTTTAAACGTCGACACGATAATTACAGACTTAAGAATTATACTGAAATTTGTATATAAATATTATATTTAAGAAAAATATCTACATATATGTAATTGACAGTTGAAATAGATATATCGATTTTTGCTTAAAAGTGTTTATAACAGAAAACTGAGCGGAGACAGATATATTTTTAGTAATGTCATACTTTATTGTGTTATACAAACCTGAAGGGCGGCATCCGGCCAGGGGCAAAACCAATCAATAGTACAGCAATTTACTAGCGCCGGAAATTGTCTGATGCGAGCGCGAAATATATCTCCAATCGGACTGAATATTGGGAATGTATAATATTAAGCTAATTATAAATTTACAATGAAATATATATAGATTAAATTGTGGGTATTTTATAATCAAGTTTTATAATCAAATAGCACAAAAATACTAAAAAAGTAAATTATATTCTGTTTGGATAAGTCTTCTATAATAATGCTTTAATACTTTTCTACAAACATTCTCATAATAAATTGTTTACTTCAATATGCTTACTTTGAATTTAATGTCTAATATTCTAGATATATAGTTTAGTAAATCTCCTTAAATAGTTTGTTGGAGAAAATTTGATAAATCCTTTAAGACTATATTCTAGATAATGCTTATATTCTAGATCTGCTTATAGTAGTTTATAGTAGTTTAGCAAATCTTATATGTACTGTTTATTATAATATTTTGTATAGTATATAGAATTATATATAATATAATATATTATTCTATTAAGCTTATTAAATAAAATAAAATAAATAAGATTAAAGAACAAGAATTTTATTTAGATGAATCTCTTTCCGAATTAAAAACTCAACAGATAATATAATTTTTTACGAAATTTAATTTGTTTTAAAACACGAAAATAAAAACCTAGAAGATATAGTTTAAATGATAAGTAATCTTGATATTATTGATAGAAAAATTATGGAAAAAGGTGACGACGCAGAATGCATTGCATTTGTGACAAAATTTTTATGAAATTAGCAATTCTAATATTAATCAATCTTTCAATTGTAAGCGACTTGCGTATACCTATACATGAGAAATCGATGGATCTCAAATGGAGAATACTGTCTATGCAAAGAAATTAAGTTTGTCGATCAATAATCTATTATTTCCTCATCTGCCATTTCCATATTTTATCTACCAATATTGAGTGACTTTACAGTTATTTTTCCATTGTTGCTAGAATCGTTTCTCGTATTACGTAATTCCTACATTTTACATTATTATCAGTATACAATATTATTCTGAAAGAGATTACGTCTTTTTTGAATTAAACAATAATATATATGAGTGTTATGTGTGCATATAATTATATAAAAAATTAATACTTTTAACTTTATAATCTATAAATCAACAGTATGTTACAAATAACAAATATACGATATATTATTTTCTAATAAGGATAGATTTTAAATTACTTTTAGTTTTTCAAATGAGTTATTGAGCAAATTTCAAATTTTTTTGTGCACTTTCGAAAAATGTTTTTTTTTGCATTTAGTGGCTTGAATTTATTTGTCTCAAATTGCAAGTTTATAACCCTTAAGTGTTTATTTCAATAATTAAAAAAATTTTAGTAGACTATTAATTCATGCAAAAATGCATGCATTATTTATGATACAAAATTTTACTGAATATGCATATTTAACTCTTTGACAAATGCTCATAATAAATTTTCATGGAAATTGTAATACTATTTGCGTAACATTTATCACATTTCATCTGAGATTACTTTTACATGGCTAAACTTTATGACATATGTGATGCGAAATGAGATTAATGATTTCACGGATATTAAAAGCTGTGTGACATTCGATATATCAGAATCGTGTCTACTCGTCATAAATGTACACAAATCTCACGGGTGAATCTTTACCGTGGGTCCATTATTATATCGTGACAAACAATAATTCGGTTTTGCGTGACTCGACGTTATTGCGTGGGTCTAGTATTTTATTAGAGCCTATCGGCGAAAATTACGTTTTTCTACTTCTGTAAAAACTTTCTAACATCGCATCTGAATCTCGTTAATTTTTCAGAAACGCTCGTGTATTGCGTAGCGATTTTTTTTACGTTTGCAAATTGATATAATTATTTATAGATTATAAAAGTGCGATTTGTGGAATTTATGACAGTTCGAAAGAATAATTTTTCAAATTATTGTTGAGCGACAGAAGTGACATTAAGATTTATATTTTTCAATGAAAATACCTCATCGTAATAACAGCGTGGAAGTTGCTCTTGACTGCCTTCAGATAGACGGAGAAAAGGTTGCTTTTATTGATCTGTAGCCCAGCCTCTTGTGTTGGTGCTCGCATTGCTTGATATATTTTGTCTACTTCATCAGCTTGATATATATTTGGTACGTCTCCGTTATTTAGAATGTTGTTTAAATCCTCTAGCATAGAGTCATTTTTTATCTACAAGAACGTGTAATTTCGTCAAATATTTTAGAGATACAGTTTATATGTACTTATACATGAAAATACAACTTTGTCTCAGAAAAATACAATAATTATAAAGGTGTTATTACGTAATAATTAGAGTAATATAAGCGCGTATTATAAATAGTTATTATCTCAAATTTATTATCTCCCCGACACTATATAATTAGTAATATGATACACATTGGTTTTTAAGTATAAAGTATAAAGTGATTTTATTTTCAAAGCGTTTACTTTTCCATATAAAATTATTAAAAGTATATGTCTTATTATTAAAAATTACGAGTTTCCAATGTGATATAATTATATATCTGTATTAATATATTATAATGAGCTGCAATAATCAATCGTAATAAGATTTTAATATGATTACTATTACAATTTAGTTAGAGAAAGATGTTATAATAAAAGGACTAAATAATTACGATGTCATAGATTAAATAATATTTAATAATTAATATTGTAATAATAATATAGTTTGTTAATATATTTTATTTTTCTAAATTTAGTCATTCAATTTTTTATTTTAAAAAATATTTATTAAGTAATTTTGTAAATATTTTGTAAATTATTTCTTCAAACTGCGTTTAATACTATTATCCTTTTAGTATCATTTGTTTATAAAAATCGTGAATGTAAGAGCTTTTAGAATGTTATGAATTTTTCATTTAAACTCTACGTTCTCTGGTCTGCATTTTACCTGTTCGTCAGAGAACAAAAAGACAATATGTTGATTCTGCAACCCCGCTTTTAACATTATATTCTTGATGTCATCTCGCCAGTCGTGGATTGTATAAACTTTACTGATTTCAATCTGATAACAATTGTATTCTTTCATGTGTGACGAAAGCTTTGTCAGGCTTCGACTTCCTAGTAGGAGCAAGAATATATTAAGTTTTGTATTCCGTATTTCTGTCGGATGTACTATAAATTCTTAGACGGAGGAAAACATGGATACAGAATATATAAGAAAAATATATATACATAAATAAACATATTATGTAATTATAAAACATTTTAATATTTTAATTTGATAATGATCTCTAATAATTATGACGAACCTGATCCACTCATTCCGAGCAATAATGCATTTCCTCCAGATTGTCGAAGTATTCGTGTGATTCTACAAATATGGCTTATTGCATCTTCAAAAAGCACTAATTGCATGGGCGATGTCATTAATTCATTATAACTGTCTAAAAAATCTAGTAGAATACTTTTCATCTATAAACACATAAAAAAGATTAATAAAGCGAAATACCTTTATTTATAATTATACGTATATATTATACGTGTAAAGGAGAAGATATGCAAAACAATCCAAATTCTAAATTACATATACATTTTAAACTATTTATAAGTTCTGTAATATCTCATATATCCCATATAATCACACATAAAGAACATTAATTATTAAATTTTATATTAATTATTTATCATTAATTACTGCTTTACCTACTGTTAGATTTATTAATTATTAAATATTATTGTAAATTGTTAATTATTATTTACTTATTATTATGTTATGTTAAATACTAATTATTAAATTAACATACGTTAAACTGAAGTGTAGTAAATTACTTTTTCAATATCTATTATCTGTTCATATTCTCCGGCTGTATTACAAAAGTCACCATAAAACAACGGTTTCTTTCCGATGATATCGTCGGCGTTGCAATTAAACTTTTCCTTCAATACATTGCGTAAGAGCTGATCGAACCATTTGTTGTCATCGCTGTTAATTAAGCGATCGCCGAAGACTCGAATATTCTCATGATACCAAAGTAATAGTAACTTCTCGCGAACCTATGTGAAAGAAATAAATCAAATGTGATATAAATATTATATGATATATAAAGCATTTTGCAGAAATTAATAAATTGTATTGAAAGACGTGTTGATTTCCGATAGGTATAATTCCGTAACACGTATTTTTGCTTCACGATAAATCACACAAAGCATTCAATTTCACGCCGACGGTGTATGAATAAAGTACTAAATCGGATTAAAATAATCTCTCTTTTAAAGCAATAGGATTGCAAGCAACATTCATCGGTTTATACGTAGAGTGACCTGCTTTGTCGCGCATGAAGCCACTTGAGTAACGTTTTTTTCTCCACTGTATCAAACATATTTATCGCTTCCCACTTTTCATCTCAATTACATAATAATGATATATTGCTCGTGCAATGTCCGTGCATGTATCCGAGCCAGAACTAAAGGCTTGTCTGACCATACACGTACTTTAATCACTTGAACACACATTCTGCTGTACAGTTATATTATAAAATCCGCCTTTTTATTATATTATAAAATCCATTATTATTGACAGGCGCGTTATTACTTTTTATTTAAGTAAAATACATTACAATAACAAAATAAAATATAATAATTTAAAAAAAAACTTGGGGATATCAAAAAATTATACTAACTAATATTTTTGTTGCGTCTGCCATAAGAATGCCCTGGAACACTTTACTCAGATCGCGTAGATTGAAGGTGTAATGCGATTTGTTGGGAATTGGTAACATCTCGCTGCGTATAACTGTGAAAATGTTTATAGTGCAATTCACTATGTCGTCCAGTAGATTATAAAGATCTGGTATGTTCGACAGCCACGAATCAAGAATTGTTTTGAAGATATGCGACTGTAAATTAAATATGTAATTAGTTAGATTCATAAGTTTGTCTTTTGAATATGTATTATCATAAAAATTCATACATACATTTAACATTTGGCTTTCATAAATGCATAAGAATAGTTTTGCGTAACATATTTTTTTGATAGATTCTTTAAATAATTAAAATTGGTTTTTGACGTTTACATATTTTTAATTTTTAATTATAACGCAATTTTTAGTTAGTAAATTTATTTTATAACAAAATTTTGATTTAGGGATACGAAGATATTTAATTCTGAAAATTAAAAAGAGAGTTGCGACGGTAAAGTTTCTCTAACAAAGGATTAACTTTAATATTGAATCAATTCGAAGTTTGTAGGAAAAAAAATCTGGAATGCGGGCAGTCTGTAATGCAACCGACACGTGCCGGCCACACGTTTGTATTAAAAAATGGTTATCCTATTTTATTTAAATTTTAAATAGAATAGGGTAGTAACCATTTTATCGTTCCAATTTATCGCATATAACATTGATAAATAACATTATCTCAATCCAACTATTTAACTGATATTAGATAACGATTAAATATATAAGAACCGGGAAAATCCTCCGCAGGAGGTATGAATGTGTTTGGCATGAATATTTAATCAGTGGTACTTAAACTCGGACCCGCCTCAACGACCTTGGGCGAAACGTGCACAGAAGGTCTCGCGGGTGCGCGGAGTCCGACGGGGTTGATTATGAACCCCGTTATATCAACCCGGGCAGGTGATTATGATAAATTATGGTCGATATGGCCACGATTTACGACATCTAATTGCGACGGGCATGGAGGAACAGGGCAAACAGTGTGAGCTACGGTGCCACGATGTTCCGTCTTTTCTACGAGCCGCGATTATACGCAACTGGGCGTGGATGTCGATTTGATGGAAGAAAACCTGACGACGTAGTGGAAGGAAACATACGCGTCAAATACGTGCAGTTCCGGGCGTAACAAGATATTTTGCGTCGTCGGAAATTTTCTTTTAAATTCTTCAAGAGACATTGGAATTGCAAAGCTAGATTTCGCTAAATATTACATAATGAAAATGTCGACTCTGAAATTTCCTTGAAATTGTCATGCATGCTTTTACACTTTTTTCCGCGTGTAAAATGTTTTTGCGCTTGAAACGAATGTACATAATAAAATCACGAGATTACGTAACTGAACTTTTTCGCTTCTTATTTGACATCTATATATGCTTGAAATTTCGCGTTAAAATTTCATGCAATCAAGTAATCTCGTTTTTCTACTCGATAAAGATCAGGATTTCAGCGAAAATTTCACATTTTACATTTTTCTTCCGAGATAGAAATAATATAATTGTTCTCTCTCGGATGATTGTCGATAAATGTGAGCAATTAGCGTTAACGTATTTAACGTGTAGTTTTACAAATACTATGCCAACTCACTTTGGCATCATCCTCCATCTCTGGAAATGCAATAATATGGAAATGTCGTAAAAGTCTGGCAGTTATTGGGTTTCTTCCGCCTCCAGGAGGTCCCATGGCTGTGACGAAATTCACGTCCTCGATTAGCCTGAAGGAACCGATGTCCCTTTTGTCATACCACCCTAGGAGGAGGGAGAATCTATCTTAATTTAAAGTTTAATTTCGAATGACGCGTTGTAAATATCAGCTGTTGTATCAGGTACGTAAGGTGTCATTTTTCGTAATTAGAGTTTTAATCTCGAGAAAAAACGTTAACGAGAGAAATAAAGATTCTGAGAATTTCTTGATTTATGGAAGCTTGACTCCCTCTCAGAGTAAAGTAATCGGAGCGATAACGATAATCGGTAAGATAATCGGATAATATTCTATCGGGGTTTTATACAGAACCCTCACGGTTATGTAATTTGTTCCGTTTTATTGCGGATAAAATATATTAACACTTCTCGTGCGTGGGATGCACATATCCATAATATTGGATATTCTACCCACGTAAGAGATCGATTCCAACGGCATGGGTTGCCTTGGGGACCATTACGTTCGTAGAAAACCGAGCATTAAAATTCGTCGAATTCTGAATGCACCGTACGTACCGGAGGCAAGCATTTCATAACACTAGGAATTATTAGTTTGCGCGTTGTTGAACTTTCGCGCTTAAACCTTTATTCGGATATCCGCCGTTTTCTGGAACGTGTACAAAAACAGCCATTACGGCGCAACTCCATTACGTCTCTGATTGCCGTATATAATTTTTTAATGGGTATTGATTTTCTTACAGGTAAAGCTATCTCAAATGCCTTTGCAAAATCAAGAGTAAAGTTTTTATTTATTTAAGAGTTAATTTTACCTGGTATGTGATACATTCTATTTGTGAAGAAACTATTTAAACGGAGATTTTATAATAAAGTAGGTTTAGTAGAATATACGAAGATCACAAATTTCTCGAGTCAAAAGTATTTAGCTATGTTACGGAATGGAAAAATTCTTTTTCATTGATTTTTATTTCCCCGTTGTACAATTTGTGGGATATTGAAACTATTTATAAAATGTAGAATATAAAATGTATATTATTAATTTCTCTTTTTTATCAAAAGTTGGAAAATTTTGAATATTTTCTATACACTTTTTATAGATATATTTGGAAAAAAAATTACACATAATATAAAAAATTAATCATATTAAAATAAAGGACAAGCATAATTAAAATTACATGCTTATATAATTTTATAATAATTACATATAAATTTATTGTGAGTAAACATATACTTGCAATTATCTTTCTGTATTTTACTTCTAACTTAATTCTTGTGCTATTTTTTCATATATGCTCATTCAGGTTATTACGTTTATATTTTTGATTGAATTTTATTGAGTGATTCATGTATCGACTCAATTAATTGAGTGCGCTAATATGAGTTATTTGATCTTGTTAATTTCATTTACCGCAAAAATCCATAAACTGGCGAATTAATTCAAGCGGTGGTTGAGCGCCGCACGTATCGAGTGCCGGCATATTCAAGTCGTCGATGAAGAAAATTTGCTTTTTCAGGATCGGCGGCCCGTAGATACCTCTACGTCGCCTGTCCAATTTTGCGTCAATTAAGTCCTGCGCGAAATTAGATATTAATTTCATTTCCTGTTCGAGAAATATACGCTCTTCTGCTGTACCTGTGTCTTCTGAGCCGTGGTTCGCGCCGAAAATGTCATAAAGTCATAAATGTACTTCTTCGGCATGTTACGTGACAGTTTTGTTGACACCGTCACAGTCTTGCCGCTTCCGGTTGCACCCACGCAAAGTACATTAGTCTCGTTAATGAGAAGATATTCGATTAACGCCGCGCTTCGTACGTTATCCATAGTTGGAATTATGATATCTGAAAAAATATTACAGTTTTGAAACATCGAATTAAACAGAACTTGTACTAATTTCAAAAAGATACGAGACAAAATAAAAAACACAAGAAACAATGATTGCAAAGCATTTTATATTATATAATATTATTAATATTATTAATATCAATATAATATTATAATAAGTGGCGATCGTGGCGCGAGGAGCAGCGCGGCAGCTTTATAAGCTAAAGATCCGGGTTCAAATTCACCCAGAATAATATAACTATGAAATTGATTTTAATCAATTCGGAAGCGATCGCCGCCTCTCGGAAGGCAATGGCAAACCACTGAGAGTATCTTTGCCAAAGAGAACCTCTTCTTAAAAAAAATGGCCGTTCGGAACCGGCGTTAAAATGTAGGTCCCGTATATCTGCGTAAAAGTGTAAATAGCGCACATCGCAGAAATACGAGAAAAGGTCACTACGCTCTGTCAAGAGTAGTAGGACTATTGATTGATAATATTATAATATTATATCATTAATTATTAATGCTGCATTGGTAAACTTTTATAATAGCATTGCATATTCTAAATGTAGAAATTAATGCTTTCTTATCAATAGCTGCCTTTCATCAATAATTTTTATCAATTATCAATAAATTCTTTGCGATCAACCTAAGGTTAATTTTTTTTCGAACAAGAACTTTTTTAAATATGCATTTGCATTATTTTTATCACTTAGTTTTGCATATTTTTTATTATAAATATTAAATATATTATTTTAAAATAAAAATTATTTTAAATTACATAAAAACAAATGAAAACAAAACTTTATTATCATTATTAAAAGAAAACTATGAAGTATGTTGAGTGGTTCAGGAGGGTGACACTAACACCCACATTGTATTTCGTATCTGAATTGTTTATTTATATTTTTTACACTGATTAATGTTCGTATTGCTACAAGTTATCACCGTCGGCGTTCGTGTTATCGGTGATTCGAAATATCGGACAGGGAATAGTCGCTCGTCTATTCCCCGTCGTGTATCGTGTGTATATATTTCTTAATCCACGCGAACGTGGATTGCGCGGTTCTCCGTTATCGCGACTATCCGAGTAGGCTCTCGGAGCCTTGGATAGTCTATGACACGTGCCGGGACGATGTGTTCGTCCCGCATCAGTGTACCTGGTCGGAAAGAACCACGACACGTCTCGAGACGACTCGCTATTCGTCCGGGTCGCGGTAATACACACGCGTGATGTAACCGGAGATCCGACTTGTTCTGTTACGCTCGAAAGTACTGAGAAGATGAGACCTGGTGGTTGCGCGCAACATTTTATACCAAAATGCAAGAGTACTTTGATCCCCACCTTTTGTCTGTCCGTTATTCTATTGGTATTTATACAAAAAAAGGATCGTCTCGAGATAACAACGACGGCGTCACGGTGGCGGCGACAACGTCGTTGCCGGTGACGATGTCTTCGTTAGCACACGTGTTTCTTCCAAATTCGAAAGTTTTATTGATGTGGGCAGCCTGCTGTGTATGTTTACTTGTTTTGAGAGGCCGTGCCGGATCTCCGATACCGAATGCTTAGTTTTTGCGTGTGTACGTGCGAGTGATTTGTCCGACCAGATTTTGCTAGCGTCGTGCACGACTTTCACTTTCTTTCTACGCAACAAAGTATCTGGTACACTCTCTTTGTATATTCTATCTTCTAACATTAAAGAGATTGCTCTTTTAGCTGTTTATTTGTTTTTTGTTATTAAATGAGCTAATTAATGAGCTAATTAGTTATATGTTCTATAAAGAAGATTAAATATAAAGTATTTATATCTACGCAAAATATATTATATTGTACATATTTAACTTTATTGAAATGTTTCCCTGATAAAATAGTTGTAACTTACCCATATATTTGGTTTCCGGCTTTATTCTGATAGATGAAATTCCGTCCAGCCACTTGTACCACTTTGGTAGAATTAGCTCTTGACCCTCGACTGGATCAGTGAATCCGCCATCGTGTAATCTGAATAGTATAATATTCTATTAATTTTATGTATACACGATACATTTAATTTATTTTAAACACGTGTGAAGAATTATATACTTTGATAATTCACATTATTTACACAAAAAATTACGTATAAATAAAAGCCTTTCCATTCTTGTATAAAAACACAACAATTGTAAAAATTCTTTTTACTTGAGATTTAACATGTTAATTCTTGTATAAATTGAGTTTTTAAATAAATTATCTTTAAGAAAGGTACATTAATATAAAAATAAACTCTCTGTTTCTCAACCTTATCTATTTATTATCTTATTCTGTGTTTTATTATTTTATTTTATTACCTTGCCTCATATTTATACCTGTAATCAAATACAAGACCGTCTTCTGGAAATGGTATTTTATGTTGAGCATCCTTTTGTACCTTTTTCAGCCAATCACTGAATATGCAACGGCTTTTGTAATCACAAGTTGCACCTAATCCCCAAACGGTGGCGAAAGCTGTCCATGGTGACAGCAAATTTGCTGTAAAGTATTTATAGTAATTTTACAGTAATTCTTACTGTATGATAAATATTTAAAATGATAAAAATTCGCTGATTATCCTGTTCTCTATTGACAATAGTTTGAGACACGATTAATGCTGCGTAATTAATTATATTGTTTTTAAAGAGAAAGAAAAAGAGATTAGATTAGATTTACTATTTATTACGTGCTCTAAGATCATATCCCCTCAAGCATTAAAATCAATACAATCGTTACAATAGCATTTAACAAACAACAAGAGTTAATGCAAAACTCCATGTATATAAATTGTGAATAGTTAAAATCGTGATTCGATAACAGGGAAGAAAATATATCGTATAATAGACGCTAAAAGTTTGTGCTTAATGAGACAGACAGATAGAGAGAGAGCAAGAGAGAGAGAGAGAGAGAGAGAGAGAGAGAGAGAGAGAGAGAGAGGAGGAGGAGGAGGAGGAGGAACAGGAAAGCGAAATGTCCAAGTTTGAATCTCCGATTCAGATTTCTGATTCTGGTATATATTGCAAGTTATTGATAGAGTTAATGAATAGAAACTGATGATACTTGCAATAGTACGTAGTCATATTTATTGAATTTAACTTGACTTTGCCATACACGTGCAGCAATTGTATGTTCTTAAGCGTCTTAAAGCATTATTCTGAACTTGTCATTTGTGATATTTAGTAAATAGTATTTGATATTTAGTAAATGATATTGATATTTATATATTATATAAATGAACTTGATATTTAGTAAACTTGATATTTGGTACATAGTACTACTGAACGGTATTACAGTTAAATTGAATGTGGCTTACGTATAGCTCTTTCGAAAGCAAAACTTGGTGGCGCTCTTCCGTCACGTTCAGTCATTGGTTCAATTCTAAAGTTCATTAGATTTATGTAAGATTGAACAATGGCGGAATCTACGGTTCTTACGATCTCTCGTAAACTCTCGCGTACAATCTTCAGGCCGGGAAGCACCAGTTGAGTTGTTAACTCAGTTATCTCTTTGATGTAATTGTTCATCGTCTGTAGAAGTAGTTGCTTAGATTAGCTAACTAAATTTTATATTTAATTTTGTAATAACGCGAATTATATTTATAATATGCGTATACATAATCATATTTTTATATTTATTTATTGCTAACACTGAAGACATTTGATTCGAAAATATTAAAATCACAAGCAATATTGAAAATTAATTTAAAACTTAAATTACAAAATTTAATTTATATCGATATTTTATTTTAGTAATTTTAGTGAGTCGATATTGATAAATATTTATAGAAGGAAAATTATATCATTTGAAAACGAATATTACATATATTTTTTAAATTAAAATTTTAATTAAATAATATTATGAATATAATATATATATTTATAAAATAAGTTATTATATTTTTGTTAAAATAAATTAATATATTTTTTAATTTATTTTTAATATTACGAAAGAATAATTTTGTATAAAAATGTAGTTTTACCGTTGGTAATGACCGTATCCAGCAATCGAGTAAAGCTTGCAGGCCTACGTTTTCTGGTTCCATGTACACCATACCACATCTATATTGATATAAAAATAAAAATGTATACATTTTAATTAATATATCGATTGGTAATTATTTCTCAATCAATAAATAGAAATGCGTTTTTAACGAAATCTTATTTAATGTTCCGGAGCAAATTATTGCTATGTTACATTATATTTTTCCATGTTTTAATTTATATAATTATCTATCGTATTTTATTGACAATCTTGTAATTAATGGCTTTTTCGTTCTGTCAGATTTTCTCTGTCAGGTAATATCTCTAGTAGTCATTAGTAATCACGATTAATATATATTCAAATCGCGTAGAACGCAAAAGCTGTATTAATTTTTATCGTTGCTATTAATCATTACTATAAGCTTTATCATCAATTTTAATTAAAGCAGACAAACTTAATAAGAAGTTATACTTCGAATATTTCAAGAATAGAAGAAATCCTTATGCTGTTTTTAATAATACACTTCAATGCTTACAAATAAAAAAGTTACAAATAAGGCTTTTATTTGCAACTTAATATGTTGAATATATTATTATTGATATTATTTATTTTTCTGTTACAGTAATAGAAACTATTTAAAGTTTTTAGTTTAACTTAAATAGTATTTAAATTAAAATTAAATTGGTTTTCTACTACCTTGAAATTGTAGCCGGCGAGGCTACGCGAAGGTCTGATACTTCAAATATCATGGTTTGAGTCGGCAGTAATTTCATTATTTCCCCTGACGTGAGGCAAAGCTTTTTATTGTCGTCCAGAACAGTGTTCAAATTCTCGATCCACACTGTATCGACTGGTCCGTCAAAAATATACCAACGTTTATCACAATCCGCCGCTGCTATATCCGCTCGTATTAAAGTTGGCAATATTCCGTCTGTCCTACAAATGAGACGTGCGATGCATTCAATATCCTGAATATTCGTATGTATTTTAGAGATTTTCTTGATTTATCAGAACTATAGAATTTCATATTCCCATGTATTAATAACTAAATAGGTCGTCAGATAAACATATATATATTAACTAATTATATATTTAATAAGTCTGCACATATACCACATATATATTAAGTTATGATACTAATTAGTATCATAATTACAGAGAATTTGTATATAATTTATATATAAATAATTATTATATATGTAATTATTGTAAATGTATTTTAGTAAACATCTTATTAAATTTAATACAAAAGAAATTATTTATGATAAAATTGTTAGAGATATGTTACATCCTAATGAACTCTACGATTCCTTTCTTTCGCGAAAAAACTTTGACAGAATCATTTTCTAGAATATAATGAAGCGAACAAAAAGCGCTAACGGTTATCGATTGACGAGCGGGCTAGGGTTTTAATAATATACCTTTTTTCCTTTCTTTATCTTAAATAGACACGATGGAAATGAGAATCGTGATTAATTTCTTTCAACATAAACATGAAAAAATGAATAAGACGAGGTTTATCAAAACCTTAAATTTTGTCTGATTCATCGCGATAAACTCGAAGCTCCGGTCTGCAACAAAGACTCCTTATCTTTTATGTAAACTTCTATTAATAAATGTAATGAATCATTTACGCGATATTTTCACTATTTTAATTTTGTTATTTTTAATTGAAAAAAAAAACTGTTGAAATATATATTTAAATAGAGTATATGTGTGTGTATACTTCAAGTAATGTAAATTTAATGACGAATACATAAACATACACGTATAAAATGTACATATATTAGCTTTTTCGGTATATGTTTTACAAATAGATATACATACAAGAGTCGTTACAAAATTTAAAAAAATTTAGGTAATTCTTTCAAATTTAACTTTTACTTTACGTACTTAATGATATGAATTTGGAAATAATTACTGTTTTAAACATCGAGAAAAAACAAGTAAAAAATAAAATATTAATTTTAAGTTTATTTGTGTAAAGTATTGATTGTGCTGCAACAATTGTAGCTATGCGCGCTGCGAACCTGTATATATAGTAATACATTTAACAAAAAATAAATACTTATTCTATAAAAATCTGTGTACTATAAATGTATCAAGTTTTAATCAAGATATTTGAATATAAAGTGCTTTTATTAGAAATTAAGCAAATTTAAATAAAAAATATTTAGGAGGAAATTTTTGCAACTTTTGGTATATAAACTATATCAAATTCATCAGTGATACTATCATGAATGTGCCGAGTCACAATGTTATAAAATTTGTATTAAAAAATTCAATAATTCTGTTTTGCTGTTATCTTAAAAATGTTTAAGACTTGTAGAGTTGTTTTTAGCACACAATGCAAAGCAATGAATACAACAACAAATTTAAATTTTTTGTAACTTCACAATTTTATTTTTGAATATATTGGCACAGTGTGTTGCTTACCATTCGTGTGTATCCGAATCATACTCGCCGTACAGTTGCCCCATTGTTATAGCCTTTGGATTCAATGCATATGTGATAACTGTTGTAAACGGCTTGCCATTTGATTGTAATTGACCTTTCAAACATGTGCACGTGTGCTTTAGGACTTTATAACACTGAAAATATTCCAAATATTATTCAATCACTATTCTTATTAAAACCTGCACATATGTTTATTTCGTAGAAAATTTAAAGATAAAAACATAAAAATTAACAATCCGTTTAATATATATGAGAAAAAGACTTTTCCAACATGTTTTTGTCTCTCTTTGTCAATATAACCAGTAATATATACAAGCCAAACTAGAACGTTCGTAAACTGGAAGCATTTATCGCGAGACAAATGTCTACGCAAATCAATGTTGTATGCGAGATGCAGCCCAGAGGAAATAGGAACATTTAGCACACAGTAAACTGCAAAATAGTTTGTACTACGTTTATCATGCTGTATTCCAAATTCGGTTTAGATTACATCGTGTGCAAAGTTTGTTTTCAAGTTATATCTATTTCTGCATTAAACTGTTAATCCAATTCAGAAAGTAAAATAACAACTACATAATATCATATTATTCTGTTTCTCAGAACAAATCAGATATAAACTGCAAAATTTGCCATAACAGATTTTAATTTAAGACAATTTAATAGTAGTATAAAAACGCAGATATTTTCTTTTTTTTACACATTAATTGTATAAATTTAACTACATATTATTTTTCATTAAACATATAACATATGTTATATAATTTATTAATCAAACATAGTTTGTGACGTGTGCAGAAGCTAGCAAACTGTTGTTGCTCAACAGTGTAGCACTAAATTGCGTTCTAACGAAGCCATCGAATTAGAAAACTAACATAGCAAGGGGTGATTGCAAAGATAATTGAGATCTCATCGTCTAAATAAAGATACATATACGTTAAATAAATATATTAATTAAAATATTATTCTTCAGAACTAAACAATATTAAAATAAATAGCATATTTTTATGTTTTTCTTAATTTTTCTCAACAATACCTTGTAATATTAGTGTTTTTAAACGCTTTTAAAATCGATAAAAAAATTATAATAGACAAATATAAGACGTTGCCTTCTCTTCGTAAGTTAAATCGGGGTATGAAAAGGTTGTCATGTTCATGAGTAATTTTATTTCCGGCGTAAAGATTAGTCGATAAAATCGGGGTGACACATTTATAAAGGAAGAAGGTGTCGTCTTCCTTTCTAAAAAAAAAATCTGGCAGTCATTGAATATCTCATTTATTAAACTCAAAGTTAATTTGGCGTTGTCAACGAAGTGGATTCCATGCATGCAGTTTGCATTATCGATTACCAAGTTTGTAAAACATCTGAGTATTTACTAACGTTTGCAATAACGGTAACACATTAATTAGACATATTCAACATTTGATGGATATTCATATAGACATGATTGGAAATTTGGTAATGTACATAAGATAAGTCCATTCAGCAAGAGAGTCCGAATTTGTTAGTTATATGAATAATATAGCGATTTGATTATACACGGAAAGAACAATTTCGTTGAATCCAGATCTGAAAATAATTTTTGTTCAATAATCAAAATAATTTTGTACAAAAGTCAAAATGATTGCTAGAATATCAAAAAACGTTATAGCAAAGCTTATCGGTTTTAACATATATTCTAACAAATTATTTTGATGATTTAACAAAAAATTATTTTCAGATTTGTATTTAGCAAAATTTTTAGATCTTTCAACAAAATCGTTCTTTCCGTGTATGGAGCAATATCTGATTAAAAAAAAATCATATCAGGAAGAATCGGCATCTTTTGTATTTTTAAATTAACATTAAATATTTTAGTTTTGTCCTAAAGATTACTAAAATTCTCTTAAATAGAAATTGATATATTATGTACTTATATTTCCAAAATTCTGTGGAATTTTGATCGGTTTGCAACAAAGCCCGTTGACATTTTTGGCAAATCCGTTCGATAAAACGGCTGCCCGTCATTGAACATAAAATTTATTCAAATAGGTCTTTTTTCGACCCTACTACAATAGAGACGTACAATAGAAGCATCAGAATTTCACGCAGATGGTGGAATCTTTTATATCTTTATAAAAAAAAACCAATTTATCTTGAATCGAAATTCAAATGAGATGTTTTTCATAGAACTTATAAAAAATATTTTCTTTGTACAGCAATATTTTAAAATACTTCGCACATCAAAGACCTTTCAATAATATGTTCGCTTGTACGAAGATTTTGAAAGCTTTTCAAAAATCACGAGAGATGTGGTGATGGTTTTCGATTAATCTGAAGTTAAAGAGCGTAAAACCCAATTTCGCAATTGCTCCCTCGAAGCCGTGAGATATATAACGGTGCGAAACCCAACGAAGCTGGCGACGTCGATGTCAGCGGCGTCCGTCGAGACGCCGCGCCGCGCCGGCAGGATCTCTATAAAGCGCATGCGGCGAAACTTTTCGGCTGGCACAGATGCGTTCGCACAGTGGTTCGCTCTCCCAGTTTACCCGACGACGTTTCTCAACGCACGACGCGTACATTTTCCTACGTTTGACGTAGTCTTAATTAAAAATTGTGAAACAAATTTTTCACACGCGTGACGTTCGGTGTGTCGCGTGTAGAAACTCGGAGCCTTTCTCACCGGAGCGCTGATTCCATATTACGGCTTAATTACCGATGGGACGGAATAATCGGAAGGTTTCTGGACGTCCGTATGGGATAAATTTAAATATCGGAAATGCGAACTACGCGCTGTTTTTCTCGGATCGTTCGAAAATTGAGGTTTTTTTTTTATCGAGGCTTTAAATAAACTTGATAGTTCGATTATCGCATCGATAAAACCGGCAGAAAATTCCCAGTGATAAATGACGCATACGTTTCCGAGCGTTTTCTGCGACCTTCCTTCAATTTAAACGGAAATCGCAAAATATATTACATTTTCTAGTCACGATCAAAGTCACGAAAAAAATTCGAAGATCGAAATTCTTTCGACGAGATTTTTGATAGAACGTGTTATAGTTTATCGGTATGTTATACGAGACAAAGAATGTATCAAGAAAGAGAAATCGGTGTTTCAGCGATTAGGGGGATTGAGAGTCGACAGAAAGGAGCGAGACGATCTTTCGTGGAATTTTAACGAAATTATGAAAAAATATCGTCAAATAAAGTGACGGTGAAAATCCTTGAATGTATCTGCGATAATGCTGTGCGACGCTGCGAACATCGGGAAGATATATCTTCGTCTGTGAATTTTCTACGCGTGGTGACGAATGAGAAAATGGACAGAGACAGAATTCACGATAAAAGTGTGTGTCGGAAAATCGGATGAGATAAATGGTCTTATTATCTGTGACGCATGACATTTAAAAGTGCTACAGTAATATTACATGCACAGTAATATTACATCTTTTTTGCGTAAAATTACAAAGAGCAAATTTTTTATTCATTACCGAGCGAAATAAACTTCACGTGTTAAACGGCATCGCGTTTGAATTAATTATAAAATTTAATTAAACGGTAAGTTAACGTGAGAACTTAATTACGATAGCAATCTCAAAAGATAAAAAATATATTTATATGAAAATTGATTTAATTAGATATTGAAGTTTAAGTATAACATAAAAGATATAATAATGACATAACGTTTCGTGAATATAAATCAATATCGCTGCATCTTTTTAATATTACGTTTGGAGAATTGTTGAATCCTCTTAAATTACAATCGTAGTCGGACTGTAATACTAGAGATTCGGAAACTGTTCGAGTCAAGGTCGAGCGAGTAACGAGAACTACACAATAAAATTGCATTCTTGCGGAAACGTGCACGCTGTTTATCAACTCCACCACATTTCCGCGTTTATCCCGTGATCAAATATGTTACATGCTACGAGAGCAGCTTTTAATGCGTTAATGCGTATCGATTTACAATCGGTCGCATGCGAAGCAGACGAAAAGAAAATAGACAATTTAATTAAGAAATCAATTATAGAAAGCTATTAAGTGTACTGCTAATGCGTCACGTCTCCTCTTTTTCCACGTTAATGAAAACGCGAGGAAATGTATTGAACTGCGACTTTGGAAGAATGAAACGTTTTTCTTCTTATTAATACGACACGGCTATGAGGATTGTATAAAGGTCCTATTGGCAAGATGGAGCGGTATTATACGAAATTTTGCGCGTGTGAATATTCATCCGCTTGCATTTAGATCCATTTCAATAATTGCTTTCGACACCATACTCTAATTGCGATTCATTCAATGAACTTACATATTATGCAGTTTAATATATGGAATTAATACGGATACGGTATTACGTATGTTAAAATCATATTATATAAATCCAGTCGTCAAAGCACTATTATTAAGATAGAATTAGATAACTTAAAACATTATGTTGAGCAGCTTAATTACCGGCGTGAATGTAATGGATTCGCGATTTTTCTCAAAATTGAAATAGCGTACACTCTTTGACGAAATCAAATGAACACGAATTATCCCGAATCCGAAAAATAAGTTAAATCGCGAGTTAAATGAAATTGAATTCTATCGAATGAAACGCATGCCCGTAAAACTGCATTGTTCGACCGCGTGCCGCTGCGAACGTAATCGAATTGAATGTAATCAAACTTAAAGCGTAAATGACCACATTATATCACTTGAATGAACGTTTAGACAGAAAAAAATTCTCTGAACGGAAACGAACGTTTAAACGCAATCCCGACGCTCAATACCGACGGTCCGTGTCAGTGACGTTGGAAGGTTTCCAACTATTACGCCGCGCGTTCGTCCGCAGCGGAATGCTTGCGTTCGTCTCGTTGCAATCAACTGTGTCAGATCAAATGGTCTTTTAGTCTAATTATGGATTTTTTCGACAATCAATCGGAGAGAGATACTATAATACCAAACTACTAAAGATACCAGACTTTGATGCGAATCAAACGTCTAATTCTCATTGCCAGTCTAAATATGTCAATAATATTACAATCTTGAATCTATTATCTAATATCTATATTAATCGGATTTAGGAGAATTTAGGAAAGCTTTGTCAACTTTCTATTGTTCATCGTCAACCAATTTTCGCAGAACGTGACACTGGGCGCTTTGTCGAAAAAGAACAGAGACTCTTTGTCGAACAGCTTGTTCTAGCGTTCATCACGCACAATTCGATTATTAACGCAATTCTGCGCAAGATATATTGTTGTGGTTTATGTCAACGGTATCATTCATGACTTTGACAGGTCTTCGTCAAATGCGCAACGCACGCGATCTCATCTAACAGGTTTTATCAACGTGAATTATGCGTTCTGGAAAAGAACTGGGAATTCCCGTTGGACAATCATTTCGCCTGTGGCACTCGATTCGAGCATTCCATGCTACTCTGTGATCTACATCGGTCTGGTTTATATCAACGTCACACCAACGAGTCTGGAGAATGGCCAATAATATTGCAATGTGCTTTTTGTACTAATGCATTTTGCACATCGCGACCGACCGCGCTGGATCGAACGGTTTTTCGGAGCGACGAGCGTCGAAGAGAGCTTTTTTCTGTCGGTCTCACAATCGTGAGCAATCATGTTTGTGTTTCAAAAACTGTCGAGTAAAACTGTGGTGGGATGTCACCAGATACCGACGGCGATTGGCAGCCTGTCGCGATTCCGAAGATCGGCGTCGCCGACGCCGAACGTGACGTTGTACGATTATCAGAATCACAGCCTCGAGATCTTCGAGATAGAAGAGGAGTCGGACAGCCTTTGCACCTCGCTCTACTTTCTTCTGGACTTCTGCCATCTGTACTACATACCGTCCATCATCCTGCTGGGCTTGGTGGGCAACCTGTTGTCGTGCGTGGTTTTCCTTAAGACGCATCTAAAGTTACGCAGCTCTAGTTACTACTTGGCGGCGTTAGCCACCACCGATTTTAGCTTCCTCATGTCGCTGCTTCTCGTCTGGCTCAATAGTACGATCGGATGGAAGGTCTTTAACAATAATGGCTGGTGCGAAACTCTGGTGTACGTCAGCGCGGTTTGCAGTTCGCTGAGTGTTTGGCTAATTGTCGCCTTCACCGTCGAGAGATTCATCGCCGTTCAGTATCCGCTGCATCGGCCGCACATGTGCACCGTGGCGCGTGCAAAGACGATCATCCTGGTGTTAACGATCCTCGCCTTAGTCAGCCACTCGTACTCCTTCATCACCGCCGGGGTGGTTAAGAACCAGGGTGGCGACGAGGTGTGCGAGCTGAAGATCGAGTACTTAGAGACCATGCAGATCATAAGCATCATCGATAGTATAGCGAGTCTAATCGTACCGCTCGTACTTATCATCGTGATGAATACCATGATTATGAGAAATCTCTTGAAGTTTGGCAGACGATTTAACCAGGATCCCGGTTACACTACGAATTGTCCTAACAGAGAGAAATCCGACATCAATCTCAATCAAATTCCGGTAAGTTCTCTTTTTAGAGAACCTCGGTTCTAAATTGCATTTTGATGTTGTGCACGCAACTAATTCGTAAATGTGCTATATTGGCGATATTGTTTTCCATACACGTTGTCTTCCAAAGGCTGTTTCTCTCTTGCAAAAAAATATTTTATCTTACGTTATATTGTACAATATAATATTGTAGCAAAATAATAGGCTTTGCCTATGGTAAAAAATTGTAATTCGTTGCACACATTGATTAAAATATTTTTTCTCTCTTCTCACCACATACTTTAATGTTAAAAAATTATGTTACAAAATATAAATTATACATTAATTTTTTCCTAAGTTATTATTCACAATATTTATGATGTTACTATATAAATGCATCTTTTTAAAATAAATTTTGTTAATGTTGAAACTAATCAAAGTTGATTATAATTAAATGCAAGCAAGAAACTAATGAAGAAACTATAGAGTATAAAGAAACTAGAAAGATTAATTGATTTTTAAATTAAAAAATAACTTGAAAAAGATTAAAGTAATTAAATTTTTGCTTTATTAAAAAGTATCTAATAAATATTAAAATGATACATATGTATATATTGGGACTCAAAGTTCAGTAAAACTTTACAATTAATTCAATTTTATACAATTAGTAAAACCAACTTTATATTATATAATGTTTTCTTTGCTTTAAAGCTTTTATTCACTTAAGTAATGCTTACACGTCCGTACATACATGGATATCTTCCACTTAACTGATACGTGTTAAGTGTTTAATGTACGTGCACGCATTATTGTGATAGTTCGCATGTACAACATATTATTATATACATTTACTGGGCAATTGAATAATGTATAATTATTGTGCTTTTATCGTAATTTCGGAAAATCGTGTAAAATAATATCACGGAAATAAATTTAATTATTAAACGATTGCAAAATTTTATGTGACATGCATAATGTTGTTAGAAAGTGAAAGAGCATATACGCAAATGCAACTTTTTATGATCTTTTCCCTGGATTCATTACTGTTTAAGTTATGGTGCCTTGGAATTCGGGATATAGCACTCGTGCTATCAGTTAGAAGAGTGTTTCTTCCCACATGTGTTGTCATAAATCTCGATAAGTAAACATTGAAATATTGGGTTCCCCGCTATCGACCATGTACGCTGTTCGCACGAGTAGAGCATCAAGGCAAGCATATATGTAATCGAAAACATCAACAAATCTGGAAATAGTTTGCACCCGCTTATGCGATTCCTTAAAATTGCACTGCAATGGAGAAAGGTAAAAAGAGAACATGTTCACAAATCGGTTTTATACAATAAAAATATTAAAGTAAACAGGATCCGCTTTGGCTGAGAAGCAATACCAATCACTTTACTAATTGATAAATGTGATATGGAATGTATAATGCAAAAATGTATAATAAATCGTCGCTAGTCTCCTTAGAAAGCCTGGATAGATATTTAAATATCGCATCCTTCAATTCGCTAAACGTGAGATTTTTTTTTTATTGTGATTCGATAATTGCTGCCAATAAAAAGTGTGTCGACAACCATATGCTATCAGAGAAACGTGCCACCTCCGAATTCGGTTTGTCGACTATTTTGGACCGACGTATAAATACTCCCGCGCCTTACATAACCAACCGCCATTCATCTTTACGGATCGACGTGCGTGCATTGCCGCTTCCTGCTGCTCGTTGTTTATAATCGCGTCGTGGTGTATGTTATCGACATATCGTGAATCGCGCGGAATCTGCTTTTTGCACGGCCATTGATATCGTCATTCAGTGGGTGTATAGAGAGGCGGAAAAGATTGCGACGTATATATACCTCGAGATATCACCCTGCAAATTAGAGATGTCATTATAATCCACGCGAGAGAAACATATTCACAAAATATGTTTTGAGAAATATTTATTCAAACAGACAGATTTATTTTAAGAAATATTCAGAATTTTCTCTTACGTGAGTAAAAGTATACGCGACGAAAAATATTTACTACAAAAAATATATTTTCTGTAAAGGTATTCATATCCGTGCCTCGATGTCGATTCAGTTATCGTATTTTATTAAAATAATGTTGGAGAATATTCTTTTAATTTAATTATATGTAAATTAAACTTTATAATAGTACCTATAATTACTAAGAAAAATACTTTCGTTACTCTTGATTCTGCATTCTGACTTTAATACACTCTCCTATTACATAGTACCATTTGTATTTAAATTGAGTTAAAGCTTATTGTAGATATGTCGCGTCGTCTTATTGTTTGAATCTATCCATCAGAAGCATCGAACAATGAAAGCAGTGCAGTTTCTATAATGACGTGTAAAATTCCGACAATTAAAATAATGACAATTAAAAATATTTGTTTCTTGTAATTTAATTTTAACAGACAAGCGTTTACGTTTCCTTTCACGTTAATGTCAAATGCTTGTACACTCTGTACACAGCTTGGAATTCTCGGTATGTTTAGAAGATAACAGCTCGCAGCTCCGCGTCGAGTCATTTCGGTATGCATAACTGGAGAATTCTTACAGTTGAAACAATAAACGGGGAAAAGTCGATGTTTTATTAAAAAAATTTATGTTTTTCATTATCATTTTTCAAGCTTCTTTCTTTTTGTGTACATGATACAAAAGGAGTAGATACAGTATTATATATTGTATAATGAACAAATACGCAATAAATATAAAACATAAATGTATAAGTCGAAAAGTTATATAAATAAAATTATATAATCAAACTGAAGACGCAGTAAAATTTTGCTGCGAAAGTAACTACAACCACTTCGTAAAAATCTGTTCCATCCTTTTCAAATTGATACATGGAAAAATTCTGATTTAATTCTGTATACTGATTGATAATTATTTATACATATTTTTGCTTTTTTAAAAGAAAAAGGAGAATCTGAATAATACTTATCTTGAAACATTAATACTGGTTTGATTATGAATTTTGGAATTTGGGCATTAGGGAAACAGGAATTCATCGTTGCTATTAATAAACTTGTTATACGCGAATATTGATTTCCGTTATGATGTTTACCTGTACGCTTCAGGTACTCAATCACATGAATTTCTCGATGCAATCCAAAAGAGATTGAAACTATTATCTTTTATAAGGGAGATTGAATTCTAGTGACTTATTTTCTTGAAAATAAAAGTTAATTAATTTTAAAGTCCGTTTCTTACTGGAAATTGATATTAGAAGCGGGATAAAGTTCATTTTACAATGCGTACAGGAACAGTTTTAAAAAGAAACGTTTTATCGAACTGATCAAGTAAAAGATTATGATGACAATATTATATCAGTTTAAAGAATGCAACATGCAAATTGATTATTGATTAAAAGACATTGATTTTTAGCCTAATTTGATTGTAATAAGATTGATTTACGTTTTTTATATTATGCATGTGCAGTTATATATTTTGGAAATAAATTTATGGTTATTTTATAATCTGTGTAATTTTATAAATCTGTGTAAAGATATTTTTAAATCTTGTTTTTAATTTTTTCAAAAATTTTTCTTATAAATTTGAAAATTTCCCTTACTTTATTCGCTTTTTTAGTGCTCTCTCATGTAATATTAAAATAAAATATACAACATTTTATTTGTTTAAATAGACAAAAATTGACTTTTTAACAATTAAAGTTTTTATATTCAAGCTATGCAAGAAACATATTTCGTAAACATTAAAACATAAGTTAAGTATATACACAATCTACATGTGCGTGATAAAGAATATAATGGCGAGATGGAAAAATTTTGCATAATTTCCATGCCCTGCCATTAAAAGAACCAAAGGATACTTTGTTTGTGCTGTGATAAGTATATTAATTTTCTAACTTTTATAAAAATGATTTGGTATGTAACATATAAATTTGCAATAAATTTAAAAATATAAGGATAAATATTCTTTAATTTTTATGATAACAGATTAAATGATCAATCGATACGCAGGATCAACTGAGATGTTTTAAATTCTTTATGTTGTTCTGGAAATAATTCAAAGATGGAACAGATTCTTACAAAGTGATTTTGTAGTGACAGCAAAATTTGCATCTTCAATTTTAGAGATAAATAATTCCATTTACTTTTATATATTTTATATTTATTTACTATATAATTCACTATTTTGTGCATATTATGCAATCTATATAATCAATTAAACCAAATTATTATCTGCTCATAAGTATTTTATATTCAGTTATTGCATCTATGCTCAAAGTGCAAATATTATGTCTTCTGACAAGTCAAAGAAAAACATAAAAAAAAGAGTATTAAAGACGCTAAAAGCACATTGACCTCCGAGTCGAAGAATCTTCAACAGAAGAAAAACATCGATTTAAGTCAAGCAAGCCGAATGACCACGTCGTATATGCGATTGGCTACGTATTTGCTATAACATGTTTTATCATTACCATATTTACTTTATATAAGCCATAATTTATTTATCATTATCATATTTATTTTATATAAGTAAATGTTCGTTATATTTAATGACTACGGACACGATTGATTTTAAGCGCGATATTTTAATATCGTGTTCTGAGTTTGCAACTACCGCGACATGTGATATAAACGGAATTTAGATGTAACACTATACTAATCATTTTATATTTAATCTCATTTTGCATTTGTAGATTACTATACAATTTTTGTATGTGCTTTAAATGTTGGGTTCATCGTTATAGTCTGTACAGTTACGTATTCTCCATTATAAAACAAAAGTTAAACATAAAGCAAGATGATAAAATGTAGAGCGACGTTCTCCGTATCTTTACTAATTTAAGAAAGAGAAAATTTTTATATTCCAAGCCATCATTTGCAATGTTGCAAGAAAGTAAAATTGTAAATATTTAGATATCATTCTTCAGAAAAGATTTCATCAGCAACCCTGTTTTTTATCGAACAAAATATATTGATCGTAATCAGTTGATTGTAGTTCTGTTGTTTATTATCAATTACGGGATAACGTGTAGCTGTTACATCATCTCATAATAAC